AAAAAGGGAGAATGAGTCGGTGGAGTCAGACAAGAAGGCAGATATGCAGAGAACTGCCCCGCATAGAACATTTGGGGGTGCAAGGGAAAGGTGAGGAGGAGGAGGTGCATGTCATGCTCCTGGGTCCTGACCTGCAAATCCTCATAGCCAGCCCCTTCTAGGACACAAAGGAATAGCATTCTGGTCATCTCAGCCAAAAAGAGCACCCAAGAAAAAGGAATCAACCTAAAGATATTAACCAGGGCTGTTCTAAAGAGCTCAGACTGGAACTTGGGGGAGGCTGTTGCTGCCGGGAGGTGGTCCCCATGGGCACATTGGCCCACCCTACCCATCCACATCTCAGCTTGGCATACTGACTTTGGCTGCCTGGCTCCTGTGATCTTCCATAGTACCCTGCAGACACAGGGTGCTGCCTGTGCACTCCAGGTGTGTCCACACAGCTGTGCCTCTGGCCAAGACTTCACATCTGCCTGGCACTTCCTGCCCCTCTTGTCAACCTAGTGGAGATTGACAATCCTCTGCACCCCAGCTCCAACTTCACTTCCTCTTTGAAACCTTCCATGACCACCCCCACATAGAGACAGGCCTCCCCCACCCCAACAACAAGCACACAGGTAGCCCCCCTGTGGGCACAGGATGCCTGTGATGGATAATAAATGAACACCAGGGCTTCCAAAGTACCTGAGGAGACACATAAAGGATACCACATTTTCCAAAGCAAAAATCCCATACACATGCCCTGAAAAAGTGTTTTCATGTTGTTTCTAGGTGCAAAGTCAGTTTGACATGCAAATCATGTGCAGTGTCACCATTCCAACAGGCAACCACTGCCCACTCCTCACAGAAGTCAAAGCGATGTGATTTGGGACACCCCCTCCTTGCCAGGTGCTTGCTCTCGACAGTCGATGCTCTGGGTGCTACTGGCCCCCTGATCCCCCCCAGTACCGAGGTCCTGCCGCAGGCCCCATCTACCCACTAGCCAGTGATCCAGACCCAGGCTTGCCTTTCGCAGTCTCACTGACCCCCCAGAAGCCCACCTGGTCTGGCCTCCTCTGAGTCAGTCAAAGCATTGGTCCCCATACTCACCCCAAAGCCAATTCTCTTCCCTCTCTTCTGCCAGTGACCATCTTCATATGCTCCTTGGATCGTGTCTCCGTCTGCAATGGCTGCCCGTCACCTAGAGAAAAAGCCCTCGACCTTCTCTGCTTCCCGCCTGACTCTATTACTCCAGCATTCTCAGAACAAACCCTCTCATTTCCCAGGCTCCTTCCTGCCTGGGTGCCTTAACACCTCCTCTACCTGGACCCTGGGCACCCGGCTGGCACACCTGCAGCCCTGAGTGCTGCCTGCCCTCCCACCTGCATGCATGCAAGCCCTTGCTCACCAGAGCTGCAGCGACTCATCTGCCCAGCTCCCTACCCCAAGCAGCCTGCTGGCTCCTGCTCCCAAACATGAAGCTCATTTCACCCACCAGGCTTAGAAACAATGCTGGCCTGGCTGGACCAGGGCAGGTTCCCAGCCAGGTACTTCCATTTCCAAGGACACAAGCTCTAGAGGGTTTTTTTTTCCCCCACACCCCAAAGAAGCTGCAGGAAACTGGCCCTAGTGGGATGAGAACCAATGCAGGGTCAGCCCCCATGGCCAGATGAGTGAAACAGGCATGGAGCTGGTAATCTGGCTGGACCTGAGCTGCCTCCCCTCAGGCCTGACTAGTGACTGGGAAGCCACACCAAGGAAGAGGAGCAGGGATGGTTACCATGGTCCTGGGTGCCAGCTTCCTTCCAGTGGGTGGAGAGCAGGTGCTCCTGCCAGGCCAGCCTGGCTTCCAGGGTTCCAGGGGCCCGGTTACTCCCAGCCCAGTTCCCACTCCCAGCAGCCTGGCTTTATGACTTCATTCGCTGAAGTCACTGGAGACAATGCTGAGCGTTCCACTCCTGCAAGTCCAGGCCCAGCCCAGGCAGACGCCTCCCCACAGTGTAAATGAGGACAATGCCTGCTGGCCCACGTGGGGAGGGGATGTAGAGGGCAGCGGCCCCGGCCGCTCCTGGCACCATGGACGATGCCGCGGTCCTAAGGAAGAAGGGTTACGTTGTGGGCATCAATCTCGGCAAGGGCTCCTACGCAAAAGTCAAATCTGCTTACTCCGAGCGCCTGAAGTTCAACGTGGCGGTCAAGATCATCGACCGCAAGAAAACGCCCACCGACTTTGTGGAGAGATTCCTTCCTAGGGAGATGGACATCCTGGCAACCGTCAACCACCGCTCCATCATCAAGACCTACGAGATCTTCGAGACCTCTGATGGGAGGATCTACATTGTTATGGAGCTCGGCGTCCAGGGCGACCTCCTCGAGTTCATCAAGTGCCGGGGAGCCCTACACGAGGACGTGGCACGCAAGATGTTCCGCCAGCTCTCCTCAGCCGTCAAGTACTGCCACGACTTGGACGTTGTGCATCGAGACCTCAAGTGTGAGAACCTTCTTCTTGACAAGGACTTCAACATCAAGCTGTCTGACTTCGGCTTCTCCAAGCGCTGCCTGAGGGACGGCAACGGGCGCATCATCCTCAGCAAGACCTTCTGCGGGTCGGCGGCGTATGCGGCCCCCGAGGTGCTGCAGGGCGTCCCCTACCAGCCCAAGGTGTATGACATCTGGAGCCTGGGTGTGATCCTTTACATCATGGTCTGCGGCTCCATGCCCTATGATGACTCCGACATCAAGAAGATGCTGCGCATCCAGAAGGAGCACCGCGTGGACTTCCCGCGCTCCAAGAACCTGACGGGCGAGTGCAAGGACCTCATCTACCGCATCCTGCAGCCCGACGTCAACCGGCGGCTGCACATCGATGAGATCCTCAGCCACTCGTGGCTGCAGCCCCCTAAGCCCAAAGCCATGTCTTCTGCCTCCTTCAAGAAGGAGGTGGAGGGCAAGTACCGGGCCGAGTGCAAACTGGACACCCGGCCAGGCTCTCGGCCTGAGCACCGGCCTGACCACAAGCTGGGGGCCAAAACCCAGCACCGGCTGCTGGTGATGCCCGAGAACGAGGATAGAATGGAGGACAGGCTGGCCGAGACCTCCAAAGCCAAAGAGCATCATGTCATGGGAGCTGAGGTGGGGAAAGCGAGCACCTAGCGTGCTGAGGGCCTGGGGGCGTGGTGCATAGGTTGTGCTCACGTAAACTAAGTAGCCAGATAGGAGCTGAAGAAGGCACAGGTGCAAGGAACAAGTAAAATTCGTCAATTAAACCACTATTTTGATTACGTGCTATTAGCTTTCTTCCACTTAGCAGCAAAGACATTAACTACTGACCGCCAAATAAACCACAAAGTGTATACAAGCTTCGAGAGTGCCCGGTGAGGAGTCTTTTTCTCTAGGACTCAGCCTACCTCCCTCCCTGCAGCGTGGGGGTGTCTGCATAGGGGTCCAGGGACCGGTGTTCAGGCACAGGCAGACTCAGGGTGAGGCCTCATGGGCAAGGAGAGGGCCTCCACCTGCCAGGCCTCACACTTGTCTCCTTCTGACCTGCCCCATCCTTGATGCCTCCAGGGCTGGCCAGATCCACAGCGCTCCCTCGCCTCATGCATTGCAGCCACTCTGACCCTGTCCCACTCCCTCACTCAGCCCCTAGCTCAGTGTCCTCCTCTTCTTCTATCCCAGGGGTCATTTGACATTGGTGACCTTGCCCCTAGACATCCACCCCTGGTCCCCCAGGGGCAGCCCCAGCTGAGACCTTTCACCTGCACCCTCCCCACCCTGTGGACCTGCAAGCCCTGCTCAGCAGCCCTCAGTGTTGGCACACTGGCCAGTCTTGTGCTTCCTGTTTGGTCACCCGTAACTCCAAGGAGCATGCTGCCCACATCATGACCAAGTGCTCAAGGTGGCCAGCACCTGAACAGTGTCCCCTCTCCCTCATGCCCACTCAGACGTCTGCCTCCCCACTTCCTGCGGGTTCCCTTGAGCTAAAGTCCACCCTTCCCCAAGAGGGAAAAGCACCAAAAGCCCCATTTTCCTAACCCCTAAGCAGTCCCAGCCCAGGGCCCAGCCTGCTCTAGCCCTGGTGGGTCCCAGGGCATGCCTGGGACTCGGCCACCCAGGAGCCTACACAGGTCAGCAGAAGTCCCAGGCAGGTGTCAGGGCCACCCCACCCCCAGCCTCCAGAGCACATTAGCGCTTAGGGAGGGGGTGAAAAGACAACGCAGGAGGACCCAGAGAAGATGGGCCTAGCGCAGGGCTGGGCACACTCAAAGCAGGAAGGACTCTGGTCTGAACAGAGTCCAGGAGCCCCCGATCAGTGTGAGACCCCTTCTGCCCAGAGGGCACAACCCCTGACTCCCACTTGAGGCCTGAAAAGATCAGCTGGGGAGCCAGGTCCTTGGGCCCAGCTGGCAGCCAGCCTCCTGCGCACCCACACCCTCAGCCCACGGGCAGCTGAGGCCTGTAGTACACAGGCACCTGCGGGTCCGTGTGTAGTCTGACCCCGTTTCTTTTCACGTTGTGGCCTGGTTACTATTATCTGGAGGCTCCTGCTGGTGGGAATGATGACAGGGTGAGGCTGGTACCTCAGCAGGTGGCACACAGTGCTTGGAGCAGAGTGGGAGACTGCAAGGGCAGGAAGCAGGGGACAGCCCTGCCCCACCTGAGCTGGGAAGGTGGTCTTGTAACAAATCATGCAGGTCAGGCCCAGCTGGGAGGCTGCAGACCTGCACCCAGAGCCCCTGGTGAACTGAGGGTCACAACTTTCAAGGGCTGCAACCCTCCCTCAGAGAAGCAGAAAGAACTGGGGGAAGGGAGGAAGGAATGTGGACTCAGCTCAGAGGCAGGTTGCGGCATCACAAAGAGCAGTACAGGAGTCACCTGCCTCCCCCCCATGGCCACCCCACCTGTAGCTTCTTCCCCTGGGGGGCCATCACCTCAAGTCCCATAGTACTGAGATGAGATGCAGGCACCAGGGTGGCCCCAAGGCTTGTACAAGGAGCAGGACGGATGGAAAGGTGACCCTACCATACTGTACCAGGTGTCCTTTAATGACACTTTAGGTGGGGCTTAAATAGAAAAGTTTCAGCAAGGCCTTGGGGCACAGCCTGGGTGCGTCACACCAAGGGGAATGGGTATATGTGTCTTTCTCCTGTGGCTCCTGGATGGTCAACTGCTTTTGGCCCAGGCCTGGGTCCCCAGAAGGCAAGAGTCCTCTGCTGGGTGTACAACTGCCCTGCAGGCTCCACAAGGTGTCCACGGGCCCAGCCCAGGCCTGGTTCTAAAAGAAGTCTGAAGCTTTGCGCCGGGCAGGGAGCTGCAGCAGGTTGTCCGTGATAGAGGCTGGGTCCTGTGTGAGGGGCGTGCGTGTGGCAGAGCCAGGGGCTGGCGTGCTTGTGGGGGTCTGTGGCCCACTGGCTGGGGTCTTGAGGTGGGTCAGGCGTGCTGGAGATGGTGTGTAGCTGGCTCGCAGGGCCCGGTCTGTGTACTTGCTGGCCGTCCTACTCACAAGGCGCTGCAGGGCTGGGGACATGGCTGGGCTCAGGCCTTTGGGGGTAAGGCTGGGGTGGAGGGGTGGGTGAGAGAGGCAGGGTTAGGTAGGCTGGGTGCTGCCAATGGGGCCAAATTTGAGGTCAAGCAGGGGTGCCACCCTTGAGAACCCACAGACCTCTGAGAGTTGCAGTCCCCACCCCCCTCCAAGGGGAATAATAACACTTTCTACTATGAGCTGAAAGGAGCTCATAGCAGGACAACAGGCCTAAAAGTGCCTCTTAGGACTGGGTCAAGGAAGATGTGGAGGAAAGAGAAGATGGAGAGGGGCCCCCGTGTGGCCACACTCTGGATCAGAGGAGCCACCACAGCGCTCACTGAAGAATCCCACAGACCTGTCCTGGACTCTGCCCTGCACACACTGCTGGGGGAGGCATCTACACTGCTGGGGGAAGTCAAGCGAGAGCAAGCAGAGACACGCGCCACCCCCACCTGAGGGCCAAGCCACCCCTCACCTGGCCAGGTTCTCTGTCACCCTCCGCAAGGCCTCCTGCTTCTTGGCTCGGTTCTTGGCGGCAGCTTCGTTGGCCATCTTCAGCCCCAGCCGCTCCCTGCGGCCCGGCTCCAAGATCTGCAAGGCAGCAGGCGTGTGGGTGGCCTGTGCTGGGCCTGCCACAGTGTCAGGCACTCCCTCACACAGAAGAGCATCTGCCATGGGCACCAGCCTCTTGCCAGTGGCCTCCCTGATCCCAAGAACCCTCTGTAGCCTCCCGTTACATGCCCCTTGAAGTCACCGCCCATCCCACCTGACCTGCCCACCTATCCAGGCCTGGCCCTCTTCACCTGTCCTAACACTCCTCTCAAAGCAGGACTGCCAAGTTATGACCCTCTGACAATCTTTTAGGAAAAAGTGTGTCTTGTTTTAGAGTGTTTCCCTCTGATTACTAGAGTGAATGTCTCTCTGTCTTTATCGACCAACCATATTTCTTCTGAGAGCTTCCCACATGCATCTGTGGCCTATTTTTTTTTTTTTCCTTTTTTCTTAAAAAATTTTTTTTGATGGCTGGCCAGTACGGGATCCAAACGCTTGACCTTGGTGTTACAACACCAAGCTCTAAGCAATTGAACAAACTGGCCAGCCCCTATCCATGGCCTATTTTTCTATCAAAGTGCTTGTGCTGTGTTCTGTTGTTATTCATAGGAGCTTCGTCTATGCCGATGAACTTACGCTACGCCATACACATTTCTTTCCAGTTATTTGCTTTAGTTTTATTCATGACATTTTCTGCTGTACTTAATTGATCATTTTCAGATAGCTATTACTTCCTTTGTGATCTCTTCCTTGGCTTCTATGTTTGGAAAGTCCTTCCTACCTTAAGATCAGACGAAATATTCACCTTTATTTTCACTTAGCTGTTTTATGGTTATTGTTTTTACTTTTAATCTTTCCTCTTTTTGGGAATTTATTGTGCTATACCCATTAAGGACCTAGTTTAATTTACCTCCAAACACTCTGTCAAACAGCACAATTTGAACTGCCACCTAAATTCTTACCTGCTCTACTTCTTACTACAGCCTGTTTCAGAACTTCTCTTCTTTCCTCTTGGCCTGTAGGTTCTAGACCCAGCAGCACACTTCTGAAGCATCCAGGGTCTTATGATATGCTCCTAGTATCTGCAGCATACGTTTCTCTCCAGTATTCCTTTCTCAAGTTTGTCTTGATTATCCCTGCGTCCCAGACAAATTTTGGAAGCAAAGTACCCAAAACCTCTGCCCATGCTTTGACTGGATGTACATTACCTCTATGAACTACTCTGGGGAAGGATCAGCAGTGAGATGCTGGGGGGATCCCTGCCAGGCCCTGGAGAAAGGCCGGTGCCCTCAGGCCAGTCACCTGGCAGGTGTCCTCCTCAGTCTGCAGCATGAGCCCATGGCTTTCTTTACGGAAGCCAAGCGACTCCTAGCTGCTGTAACTTTCCCCTGCTATACAAGTGGTCTCTCTTTTTCTGCTGCATTTCAAACTGATCACTGTCAGTGTTTAAAGGGACTGACGAGAGATGACCTCTTACCCAGCCGCCTAACCAGACCTCCTATACTCATTCCAGACCACACCTGACTCCTTTGGGTTTTCAAAGTAGAAGATATAATACCATACCCTTGGGCTCTGCGACAACACAAACTTCTGCCTCTGGCCACATCTCGACACTCTAGAATCAGCACAGGCAGGGGCCCAGCACCTCAACAGCAGGATGTGCACACTCCCACGTTTCAGGGGCCCTTTCCCTACCACAGCAGTGCCTCAGTTTCCCCAAAAAACTCCCTGCAGACCAGAGCACCTCACCTTCCCAATGGCTCTCGACAGCCACACCTAACTGTCCACTCACTCACGCCATCCTGGGCCACCCAATTTCTACAAACCACCCTCCACCCAGCTTCCCCACCCCACCAGGCCCTCAGAGGCCACCGTGATGCACCCCTGCCCTGACACATTGACTTGGCTCATGAAGAGCCTCCCTTGCCTGCTCCAGGCCTTGCACACTCTGCTCTAACCACTCCTACAACCCGTGGCTCAAGCCACACAATCTGGTGTGTCCTTAATTATGTTCTACAACCAGAGACCTTTCTCTGCAAGCACACAGCCCTTCTGAGGACACAAACAATGTCCCACAGCCCTCAGGGCAGTCGTAGTTTCTGGCCTGACTCTCTGTGACCGTCCCACCTCATGTGTGAACAGCCCCCAGCCTGCAAGCTCTAGAGTGGCCCAGTCCACTCCCTGTCTTGGTGCCTTGGCCCCCACCGCCCCAATCCCTCCTTGACAGACCACCGAGCCACCTACACTTGGCTTCAGCACCTGGCATTCAGAAGTGCTGTCGGTCCTGCTTTGACCAGTGATAGCTGGGGCTCAGCCCTCTATACTTCAGGCATCCACACTGAGTCCCACGCTGTTCCCCTCACACCACAACCCACCTTGAAGGCTGGACCTGGTGTCCTGTCCACGTACGGCGTCTCTGACCCTTCGACTCTCAAGGGTGTGTTCTCAACCTCCCCCCAGGTCATCAATGGGGACTCGTTCACACCTGCAGATGGAGAGCCCATAGCCACTTCATGCCAGGGGACCCAGATTGGGGTACGGCACAGGCCCTCCCCTTCACCACAGCCAGTTTACCCCGTGTGCATTCCAGCTAACATCAAGGCTGGCAGCTAGCCCTCTTTTCTTCCCCATGACTCTGGAACCCTGGCACCTCCATCCTCTGAGATGAAAATGCCAAGGTCACTGTGGGTCCAAGGCAGGTCCAGGCCCTTGCAGCCATGTGCTTAGCCTGGGGGAGGAGGGAGGGACTGGGTCAGCTAGGCCCCCATGCTAGCACAGGGCCAGGGGACCAGCCTGAGAGGCTCCTCCCACCCCAAGGGAGGAGACCCTTGGAGCTTCCAGGGCTCCTAGAACCCCGGGCAAACCTGTGGTGTCGTCACATGCCCTGGCCTGTGTCATAGCAACCAGCAACTGAGAATGCAGAGGCCAGTGTGCAGGAGGGCAGAGGGATGCCCACATGTACCAAGGAACTGTCCCAAGCTTCACCCACCTCCTTGTAAGCACTGCCCACACAGCACCCTACCCATTGACGTCACAGTCAGGACCAAACACGAAATATCACCCCAAGACATCTTAGGTAGGGTCTGCCTGAGAGTCCAGCCCATGTATGGCTGACCAGCCTGGGTACCCAGCCCCTCTCAGAGCCCCAGAGCCCAGCCCTGTACTTGCACAGATGGGAGACTGGGTCCCTAAGTCACCCAAGGTGGGGGGACAGACCCAGGTGGAGCCCATCTCCCCCCAGGCAGTCCCTCTGGTGGACCAGCTTGCCAGCAGGTGCATTTCTCACCAGGGGCAGGAGAAGGGGTGGCAACAAATCCAAATCCGCTCACTCGGGGAGACTCCTGCGGGATCAGTTCCTTGCCGTCGGGGCCCACCTTGCCCTGTTTGTGCTGGAATAAGCAGAGAGGCTAGCGTCAGAGGGGCTGGAGCCCACTCCCTCCAGCTGGCCAAAGGGCAGCTGCACAGGAACATGCTGGAAATGCTTCCCCTGCACAGGGCAAAGCCGGGTTCTGGGGCTGGCAGCCCAGTTGGGGAAAGAGAGGGAGGACCTTGCCCCCAAAAAGACCTTGAGAGGGGCCGGCCCGGTGGCGCACTGGATAAGTGCACCGCTTGGGAAGCGCGGCGGCGCTCCCGCCCGAGGGTTCGGATCCCACATATAGACCGGTTCCCGCTCACTGGCTGAGCGAGGCGCAGGAGCAACGCCAAGGGTTGCAATCCCGTTGCCGGTCCCCGGTCCAGTACGGGGGCAACACTGAGGGTTGCGATC